GAGTTGGCGGGAAGCAGATGGATTCTAACAAAGGTTTACCCTGAAACTAATCTTTTGACATTTCTTGTTATATATACTTTTAAGCTCAATTGATAGAACAGAACATGTAGTTTATAAGTAAAATTTGCCCAAATTTGAGATTTCTAGGGACTAATTGTCATTTGGAGACACTTTTTTTTTTCATTGGTATATCTATAAAAGATGATACCTGCATAGAATTGAGAGTTTCCCATGGGATCTTCTCGGTGGCAAGCTCCCAGAGTACAACTCCAAAGCTGTAGATATCAGACCTGTATAGATGAATAAGAAGAACTAGTTAGCGTTGAAGGCTAGATGAACAATTAATCAAGGGAACTTAACCAATCAGAACACGGGAAAATACTTCTCATCAGCAGACTCATTTCGAAGCACTTCTGGTGCCATCCATTGAGGCTGCAGAACAAGTAAAAGCAAATCAAGATCATTGCAAGAGGTTAACTATAAATGAGGATTCAAATCAATAAGAGTCTAGGTTGAGTACCGTTCCCTTCCCGGACTTGGAGGTTAGGTATGTCTCATGCTTGATACGCGAAAGACCAAAGTCAGCTACCTGTTAGATATGTCCCAGTAAGTTATCGATGTTTCTGGTTAGTCTAACATTTCCAGTTCATTCACATCTTACAATATTTTAAATAAAGCTTCATTTTCGTTTTAGAAACTATATAATCATTATGAAGATGGAAAAGTATTAGCCATCTGATTATATGGGGAACCAAATGCATCTCAAGATGAATATCTTACCTTAACGGTCCAATTCCTGTCTACCAGCAGATTTGATGACTTCAGATCACGATGGATGATGGGTGGACTACAATGGTGAAGATAATTCATACCGCGAGCCTGTGTGAAGAATTATGTAATATGCTGGATGAGATGTACGTTGACTGAGTCAAATAGAAGTGGAAAGAAGGATCACAAGACATATACAACGAAGCAATCAACGTTGCCTAGGTGCAATTATCGATGATCACAGAGACGGAAAAAATTCAGATGTCTAATACTTATAACTAATAACTGATACTCACAATGTCCAAGGCCATATTGATACGCCGCCTCCACTCCAGTTTCGACGTACTTCTCTGCAGTAATCGGAAGAGACTTCCACTGCAAAATTTAATTCAAAGGATTAGGAGCATAGAGCTATGGCTTGAAGGACGAAAGCACAAAGAAAGTGAGAGTAGTGACGAAAAGAGATGAGACTGAACCGTGGAAGGAACTCTGACAATATACAGAGGCGTTGTGGTGAAGTCACAGCTCCCATGAACAGCAGGACATTAGGATGTCTCAGTCTTTTCATCAACAATACCTTCACAATAAAACAAGACCAACATAAATAATTTAGAATTAGTAATTAGCTGTTCTCCGAAATGATTCATTCTTTAGTGAGATACAGTTTGTAAGTGAATAAGCTTTAGTACAGAAAAAATGTTGTATTCGAAGAATCGATATGACTACTAAGATATGAAAGAGAACCAATACAAATGCAATTGTCTTTTGCCAAAACTACTCTAAGAGCAATCATTGTGGTAAAGGAATTAAAAACAATACCTCTTGTCTAAAAGATTGTATGACCTCTTCTGAGTATTCTTGTTTGGAGAACACTTTTACAGCTACATCCTGTGGTGACATTAGCAGCTCTCAATTTTATTTTTTTTGATCATGCAAGCGTGTATAAATCAACAAATGCATATTCTACAAAATCACTAGAAGCCAAAAACTTACAGATCCAAACCAAAGACCATGATAGACAGTACCACATGAACCTGTAAGATGGAGAATTACTGCATGTTAGCAGAACGGAGACAAAATATCACATAAAAATATGATGTTATAAAGAATGATGTGTCTGGCAAACGAGATAATCTGTTTAAAGAATAAACCACCTTGTCCGATTTGTTCTCCAATTGTCAAATCATCCCATAAAATTTCGTATTCCAAGCTCTCACTATCACTATCAACCTTGTTCATAACACTGCTACTGGTACTTCCAGAGCTACTAGCGCTGCTTGTGCTGTTCGCATTTACAGAGGAAGACCACAAACTAGAAGCCTCATTATTGATAGGCTTATTATTACTCTCAAAGGCATGGCTTTCAGACTTAACACCAGAAGAGGGACTAATCGGGTGAGACTTATCTTTCTCTTGTTCATTCTGTACCCCAGGCCATAATGAATGAGTTCCTTTTGAACCTTCCTGCTCATTCCCTTTCCAAGGCCATGACAAACCTTTCTTTACCATCCATTCTTCAGCTTTTGACGAGAGAACCTTATGGATTGCAGGCTTTCCATCACTCTCATCACTTGAATCTTTGAAGGGCTTTGAAGGAAACTTCTCATCGTTACACGTGAATACACCAAAAGGAGATTGAATAAAATCCCCCCTTGGTGTGCTGGCACCACTTGATGCTGCATCGTCCCTGTGGTCAGTGAGAGTAGGACCGAAGACACTATGATCTGAATGATGACTATCCCCACTGCCACCCTCAAAGACTGTTGCACTATTATCACCTGCTCGCATTTTCGACCTGACCTTGTTGCTCAAATTGGATGCCTGCAATTTTTAACTCTAGTCAAATTATGCAACAGCAAAATAAAAGGTGAGAATATGCAACCAACAATCGAACTAACCAAATTTGATATCTTTGATGCTATAGCAACTTGTATTGGCTGATCAGAGTCAAGACCAAGTTTCGATATAACAGTTCCTTTGGAGTCCAAACCAAGTTTTGAGGCAAAACTAGTCCTTGCAGGGATAGAGCTCGTTTCACCTTCTTCTTCTGCCTTTAATTTAGCCAAAGAGATTCTCGGGTTCAGATACGGCGCCGTGTTACTTGTGATACATATGATCCCAATAAGAGTACCGTCATCATCATAGAAGGGAGAACACGTAGTTACAGCTGAAAATCTCTCCCCTGATTTGCTCCTGACAGGAAACTCACCGGTCCAGCTCTCTCCACGGACACAACGTCGAGCAATATTCATCGCAAAGGCAGCATCACGATCATCTGCAATAACATTAATTGGATTCTCCCCAAGTGCTTCTGCTGCAGAGTACCCATAAAGCTTTTCCGCCATGGCATTCCTGGAACAGTCATGTTATCGAATTGGAATATGGAAAGATTACAGATTACAGAAAATACTTCAGTTGAACAATGCAATTCATCTATCCATGTAATCACATCTTACTCCCTAGAGGGTTCCGGAGTTTACAGTAATCAAATCCAGAATCTAGCAATTGACTAGATCGAACTACTCACCAGAAGATTATTCGCATATTTAGATCAAATGCATGAACAGCTTGTGCCATGGATTGCAAAATGTTCAAATACTGTTTATCCGTGAACTTCCCTGCCGATGGTCCCTCTCCAGCTACTCCAGCTCTCAATTTAATCGAATCCTGGATATGATTCTCCTTCCGCAACGGCGAAGCGTGACGAAACGAAGCGGCACCGCTCTTCCTCCAGGCAGAAGCTCCGTCGCCGATGTTTCTCCTCGCCGGACGATGCGGCGAAACCGAATGCGATCGCTGCCTAAGCTCCGTCGATACCTTAAGCCTAGACATCTCTTGCTTTAGATGCTCCTGACTTTCCTCTAGCTCTAGTATCTTCTTCATCAGCTCCTTCGCAGGTGGAGTCTCCATTGCCCTCGAAACCCTACCGGAACACAAACTCTACCCACTCGGATCAAATCTGAAGCTAAACGAGTTGAATCGGGGATCGTTCGAGTTGAATCGGAACTTGGAACAAGCTGCTTTAATCCATGGTCAAAGCAAAGAAGAAAGTTTCTTTCTCTCTCTCTCTGTAGAAGAAAAAGAAAATGGAATTGAAGAAATTGACGCGAGAAACGTTTTAAGGTCTCAAGCAGTCAACAATAATGGAAGCCTTCTTCGCTTATCTTTGC